TATTAATTATTATTGGAAGTATATTTATGAGGATGATCCTGGCTGTTACCCCAAACTGCTTCTGGTTGGTGCTTGAGAAAGAGGTTGGGAAGTAGGGAGTGGAAGGAGGAAGGTGGAGTGGTTGAGAGTCTAGAGGGAGGAAGGTTTGGTAGGTGAAAGAGGGGGAAGCAGGGAGGGGGCAGCCGGGAACACCCGTAAAACAAATTTTCTTTTGTGTATTGATGTTTTGTATTTATATGCATCAAGTTTATGTTTATATTTTGTTATACTTGAAAATAATAAAAATTTTAAAACCAAAATGATTATAATGGGGGTGAGATTGATGGGATTGTAATTGTTTTATGTTAGGAGTTGAATCTTGTGAATGTGTGAATTTACTTCTGTAAAATAAAGTAAATACACTTTGGTTACTAAGAATTCTAAATATATGGTTATTTAACATATGCTAATTTTATCTTTCCTGAATGGCTGGGCACTTCATTATGCATGATTCCTAGGATAGTAATCTGAAAAATATTAATTAGAACAAAATATGTGTACTATTATAACCTGAATGATAATTTCCACATTCTCTTAGTATTGGCTATGCTAACAGAGTAATGTGAGTTGAAGTTAAATATTAAGTAATATACCTCTTATTTATCACTTCATTTTCCCAAGTTGATTTATTCGATTCATTAATGTATAAATGAACTTCATGGTATAGTATCATCCTGGAATATTTTTTTCTCCAACATCATTTGTTGGATAAAACTTAGGAGATAGGATCAGAACTTTGGTGAAGGATAAAACGGGGGAGGGGGGGAGTAGGTGCCATGAGACATAAAGAACATTGTGATAGTTCCCCCTTTATTCTTGGAGAAGTTCCTGCCCTCAACAACCAACTTTTTCAAACAATTGGGTATGTCACCCAATCTGGATTTGTGCAGCATGTTAGGATTGTTGGATTCAGCAAGTTTATTTTTCTTTCTTTGTTCCATTTTAATTAATAAATGTACCAAAAGAATCAAAAATGTTGTGGGAACCCAGTCAACAAGCATAATTGACTGCTGCATCTGTTCCAAAGGTGTTATACCAACAGAAGTATAACATTCCATAAGTGAGGTTTGTGATAAGTCTTATCTAGCTATGTTATCTAGTTTTATCTAAATATGTTTTCTATTACTGCCAATATAAAAAAAAAAACGTTACCCAATCCTTTATAGAAGAAGTAAGATAATTGCTTATCTCTCTTCATCTGTAGGTTGGATTATGGGAATTGCTCATTGCATCAGCTCTGCTCTGGCTTCCAGGAAGTGAACACAGCTTTTGTCATGTAAGTTGAATTTGTTGGACCTGCCGCAGCTTAAACCTCTAATTAGAAATGATCCTTGCCTCCATTTGTTGAGAAGGGCATAGTTTATTAGAGACCAAGTCTATTGCCATAATGCAAAGCCAGAATTGAAAATCGCATGCCAAAATCCCTAAGTTCTCCTCTACTCTTCCCTCCCCTTAACTGTCTCTCAGTGCTCCTCCCCCCAGTGTAACCATCTGGTTCAGGCAAGATGTTTTCCTAACAGTCAGTTCAAGCGCAGGTTGGTATGTGACCCCCTGCTTCTTCCAGCTGGGTGACCTTGAGGCAGCATCTTGTGGAAATGCTGCACTTAGTTTCATTTCCCAAAGCATTCCCCCCTTCATCTCCCCTCCCCACAGTTCATGGCAGTCTGTCACCGCAGTGAAGCACAAGCAAGCATAAGATGGCAGCTGACAGAATTATTGATACCGTCATGAACATAATTCCCCATACAAGGCACAGAACTGAAAGAGTTTTTATTTTTGATAGTACAGCTTTTTAGGGTTCTTTATACACCTTGAACACTGAGGCTGGAGGAGACAAAAGACAGCTTCTGAGTTCTGATTTCCCTCTCTGAAATACTAGCAGTAATTGTAATTTGTGCTCAGATGCCTAGTAATGATTTACATGCAAGTCTTTGATATATACATGCATTACATTTGTCATGTTAACAGCCATGGAATGTGTTCTTTTTGTATAAGCAGCTGTTGGAGACTGCTTGAATTCTATATTTGAGCATTTGAATTGCACATGTAATATGTCTTCAAGCTGGAAAGAAGGAAAGCCTCAATGTGAGATACTTGTTTTTAAATGTAAATTGTCCCACCACAGCAGACATGACATCAGAGTGATGGATTACACTAAACATCGTTCACAGCACAGAGGAAGCACAACATTGGCCTTGAATGTGTATTTTCTTCATTATCTTGTTCTTAATGTAGTGATCTGACTGACAATCCATTGGAAAGTCTCCCTGAAGACCGCTTCCGAGGATTCACACAGCTGCAGACCCTGTGAGTATTTGTACATGACAACAGATGCAAAATCAGTGGAGGCTGCTCATTTTTCATTTGTCAAATTTATATGGTCGTCCACCTCACAAGAAGTGATTCTGGCTATGTAGCAAAAAAAAAGTATAAAAACATAAACAAAAACATATTAAAACAGATACACACAATATGAGATTTGATCAGCCACAGAGCCACCTCAAGATCTCACTGGTGCTCTTCAGGGACTTCCAGAAAATAAGGAGGAACAAAACTGTCTCCTTAAGGGGAGAATGCTCAATAAGGTGTGGGCATCACAACAGAGAAGGCCTACCTCCTGGGGCCCACCAAACGAGGTTTACCAGGAGATGAGAACTGCAGCATAACCTTGCCAGTTATGCATTACTGCCACATTCTCATAAAAGGATTCAATAGAAATCCAAAGCTTTTCTTGGCTATGTGCATTTTCATAACGTTAGGCATTTGGGATGGGGTTTTGAGATTTTATTTATTTGGGGGGGGGAACCCTACTAAATTTGTCTCTCACCTGTTTCTGATATAATTTATGTTGATCCCCAGTGCTTTGCCCCAGAAGCTGGACTGTCCTGGAGGCAGTGAAGTATGGAAAAATGTCACCATCCAAGGAAACAATCGTATCTGTCATGACCAGAGGAACTCCTGCAATGGCTCATTGGGACTTGGTATGGATATAGTAGGCAAGATCTTGTGTGCTTGGATTGTAACCACCTAAGAAGAGGTGGAGAAAGGTGGGGATTGGTGATGGGGACCCCTAAAAGTAAGTTGTTTATCTCCCAAACTCCAACAAAATTATTTTCAGTCTTATGAAAAAATAGTAAAGAAAAGTGACTGTCTGTTGGACCTTCGGGGCCAAGGTGTTCCACAGGATTGAGGACCCTCAGAGAATGGTTGTCTCCAGAGCTAGACTTATTGAAACTCCATCAGGAATCGGGTGGGCCATTAATATCCACTTCCTGAAAGAGCATGAGAGACAGGCACAATCATATTGGAGGAGATGGTACTAAAAGGTCAAAACCAGAAGATTGATTTGGAAGCCTCTTAGCAGCCAATGCAGTAACTGAAGAATAGGAGTTAATTCTGCAGTAATGGTTCTTATCTGCTAAAAACCTGCCCAATGCATTTTGACCCACTGCAGTTTGGGTCATGTTCCAAGGCAGCCCCATAAACTACTACATTACAGTAGTCTAACCATCAATTGGTAAGGGTGTGAATCACTCTTACTGTATGTTTTGCCGCAGTCTACAAACATAAAATAAAGTCCTAGAGTGAAAAGCTGCAGTGAAACAGCTACAGGAAGGCAAACTGAAATAAGAAGGAACTCTCACATTTCATGTTCCCACTCTGCTATCTCTTTGTATGCTGATGTCAATGAGGTAGCTAAACACTATATATTAATCTGAGTTCTGAATTTGGCTGTTGAGGTTTTGATTTTTGAGTTTCTTCATTGATAACATGTAACACTTAATAACTATTACATGGAAGTACCACAATTGCCTTGGGCTGTTCTTTTAAGGGCAGTGGAAGACGATCCAGCAGGAAGTTCTTTTGCATGAGATCAGTGTTTTTGCTTAGCTATTATTTCTGAAATTTGTAGATGAATATTTTTCAGAAATGAACTGCAGCTGGGCAAGGAGGTGGGTTTTCTCTACATTTCTCCAGTGGAATCTATTTCTGATTTTAGCATTTTATGGGCTGGTCCTTATCCTGAGTCGACTGAGCAAAATATTTGCTAAGTGGAACACCTTGTACAATAAAATATCAGTGGTAATAGGAGGCAAAAGACCTGAACTGAGGGCAGCAAGGTCCTCACGTCCTGAATCCTAGGAAGATAAGAATAGATGGGTTTGGCAGAAAGGATTAAGGTGGGCAGGATAAGCTCAGCTGTGCAAATGGATGGCACAGTATTAATGGTGTGGGAGAGACTGATGTAGAAAGAAAACTAAAGATCAGAAGCTGTAAATTGTGCTGTTTATGGAGTGAGATTTGAAAAGTGAGAGGATATCCTCACCCTCTTCCATCCACTCTGTTTCTCTACAGTTTGGGTATGCCCAGAGGGATCACTTTGTACTTCTGATGGACCCGGCTTGTCCCAGTGCCTCTGTGTAGATCCATACCATGGCTATAAATGCTTGCGCCAGGTGAGCTGCTCTTGGATTATGATGGGATTTATGTTCCATGTGCTTTTTTCTCTGGTACAAGGAGATAGGGCTTTTGGGGATGGTGGGATGGAAAGTCCAAAGTAAACGCTCTTAAATGAAATAGAATATTCCAACTGGGAATAATCATTATGTTATGCGTTAGATTGCCTTCTACTTGCTGAGGTTATTCGAAATTAACATCCAACAGCATTGGAGGACTTCAGTTTGGTAAAGGCTATGCTAGGGTTTTAGCCCATTTGATTCAAGCCTTTGAGATTGATTAAAAGGAACCTTTGGGAGCTAATCAAATTAGAAAAAGCTTTCTAATTTATTTTTGTCTTTCAGGGCAATTTTCCATACCTGCTGTTCTTTGGAACTTTGGGAGCCATCACTATCACTCTCTCCACCTTCCTTTGGACCACACAGCGGCACAAAGCCAAAACCATTTAGTGGCCTCTCCATTCTCCTGGCCCACCCGCAGTACACAAAGGAGGTGCTAGTCTACAGTCTTGTCTGCTGTCTGTTGTTACCCTTTGGTTTTGGAATTGGAGGTTCTCAATTTTTCCGGGGGAAATAATTTTTTGGACTGGAGCCTGTCACTCTGTTACATGTTCGGACACATGGGAGAACACTGGGAGAACACTGTAGCAGTTATTGTACAGGAACACATTATTTTCAGCTAGCCCGGTTGGCTTGCCAATGCATAGAAACGGGGGATAAAAGATATAAAGAAGTGGGGAAAATTAATGTCTTATTGGATGTTAGATATTCTTTGGATTGTACATTCAGTTTCTAATAAAGTAAAACAACTAATCAGGGTTGTGTCTGGATATGACGAAAACCAGTGCTTGTGTGACTACTGATCCCTTAGGGCTTAATCCAGATTCCTTTCTTTTACTATTAGAAGCAGAGCACTTGAGAAAAAGTGCTAGTTAGAAGCTGTGTTTGGGTGCTTTTTTTCAGGGGAAGTTTTGAATCTGAATGCTAAAAGAAAACTTACGAGAAAGTCAACCCCATCCTTACTCCTGTTACTTCAGGACACCTCTTGGATTCTACCATTAATGGACCCAGATATTCTCCTGCCTTAAAATTTAAGAGTTTATTTTAATAAATAACCAAAGCATATTTTCTTTCCCTAGCCTTTACTCTTTTCTGGGACCTGATTACTGCAAAACATCTGTTCTGCTCTTTTTCCCTATTCCCTATTCCCTGTTACAGAAAGCTTGCAAGTTTGCCCTCTTTCTTTCTTCAAATATCTTCTACAAATCATGAAGCAGTTGAAAAAACTGCCTGCATTCCAGGCCAAAGTTGAACTGGTAATGTGATTCTGTGTTTGAACAATACCCACCCTTGAACGCTTTGCTTCTTTCTCCTTCATTGTTAAAATACTTATGTTTACTCAGTCAGCCCACTGTCCTCTGTCCATACAAGATTCCCTAAGCTTTTAAATCAGGTCAATGCTCAATAAGCATTGCTGTATACTAAGTATTTGAAAAGCACCCAATGTGATTATTTTAATTAAACCATTGTTTTCATTAAACAATTAGCTTGTTGGTTTAGTAACTATGATTGTTTAAATTAAACCATTAGCTTATCGGTTTAATAACTGATTTAAAATCACATTTCAAAAAAAAATAATCAGATTTTCCTGGGATCTGTGTTTTTGGGACACATTGTTCCAAGGATTTGATCCACATCTACTTCCCATTTGCAAAAATAAATCCAAACTTGGCTCTCTCGAGATTGCAAAATTAGGCAGAAATTTATATAATCAAAGCATCAGCACTGTAAGGAAGAAGCAGCTTCAGTTAATCACTAAAACAGAAGATTTCATAGCATGTCTGCTCTTGATTGTTTTACATTCCATGCAGTCAGTTTTGAAGTTTAGGAATGTGTTCAGATAAACAAGGAATTTGGTTTCACTAAATATGTACAGAGAAGGTCAGTAATCTGTACTGAGAGACAAATGGCAGAAATACAAGATAGTCATTTTTGAAAGGTCAACAATAAAGAAATATAACAAAATAACCATGTTAAATTTTGGCAAGAAATCAAACCCTGAAGATGGAAGAATTTAATGGTATCTTGGGTAGAATCAATTACAATTATGCAAATGAATATACTTCAGTACCAACAACAGTGGCAGGATGAAGAGCCAGCAAGTAGACCCTCCCTGTGAGAAGACTTCAAAGCAGAGTCTGGGAGACCATCTTGCTGAAACCATGGACAGTGCCTTTAAAAAGTGCACCAGGTTCACATACTCCCTTTTCTAATCACTTTCAGAAATTGGTTGTTAACTGCTTTTCAGCTATTAGCAACATTTGGATTTACTCCGAAATGAAACTTTTTAAAAAAGACATAATTTCACGAAACAAGAAGCATCACAATTTAATGAGAAATAAGCTCACAGCAGCAAGAATAAATTTTGTCCAAAATTTACTAGAAGGAAGACATAATCCTGACAATATTTAGCTGGAAACTTAAACTTGAAGAATATGCACTAATGACAGAATTAGCAGCATAATAGAATTTAACTAAATTTAAACAAGAACGGCTTCCATACAATATATCACACATCATGGTAAATATATCACAGTCTGACTTCTAAATATTCACAAATGCTGTAAAGTAATTGATAGGGAAAGTACAAAAAGGGAAAAGCTAGAAATCTAATTGTCTTTTTCTCCCTTTTCCCTTTATTGATACTCTATAATTATTGTCAAGACAGTCCGTTTGGTATAGTGGTAAAAGCACCAGTCTAGAAATTGGGAGATTGTGAAATGATGGCTCTTTCTAGGCAATGTAATGTACATATATATTGGATCTTCATGAAGTTCACTGTCTCCTTGCCTTGGCGTTACTGCTTGGTCATCATTGCTCCATAACTAGTATGAAGTTATGCAAATAAAAATAAGAATTGAAAAAAAAATGAAATATTTTCTATAATACAGGTTCCTGATACTGTGGCATAATCACGGGTGTCTAGAGATTTCTATTCTTCCATTCTTTGGAAGATAACAAATCATGCAAGAGATAGTCTTTTTTTCTTTTTTTTTACAAAAATTTCAATAGCAACAGTACATGAATCCTATTTGCAAAAATACGAAGATCTTGCTAGGCCACAAGATGGTGCTGGAGTGCTATAATTTGTGTTGAGATACACTGCATCAGTAATGAATTTACATTTGCACAGAGAAATAAAAAAATCAGATGGCTTCTAATATACCAACAAAATAAATCAAACATCTAACAAAGATTCCTAGCTAAAAACATTTATTTATATACAAATAATTTGAATCTTGAAACAAAATATTTTCTGTAGATCTCCCCTAGTTTCTGGGGATAAATTCAAACTTACGGTATATCAGAATTATTTTTAGCTTTACAGTATTTCTCCCAGATTAGGCATAGCAACTTCTCTAGCCTGCATGTCCAGAATTCTGCCCTTTGTCTTTTATAAGAGGAAGCTTTTTCCCAGGCAGGAGAATGGATTACAGGGAAACTCTTTATATTTATAGGCCCAAAACTCAGTCTTACCTCTGTGAATATAGGTTTCAACTCAGATGCTGGTTGGGCTGGGAATATGACCAGGCTCAGAGTTTACCTATGAACAAAAGGCAACTGATCCAGTCTGTATTACGACATCACAGGTAAACTCTAGTCTAACCCTTATGTACTTGATGAAACTGGGCCATCCTTAATCTTGTAGTTTATTTAACCAGCAGTGTTACACATATGAATGGAATTTTAATTTCAACTGAGTGTAAAACAGTGTTTCTCAACCTTGACAATTTTAAGGCATGTGGACTTCAACTCCCAGAATTCCACAAGTCCACATGCCTTAAAATTGTCAAGGTTGAGAAACACTGGTGTAAAACATTGAACTCTGCATGGGTTTCCTCCTGGATATAAAAACCAGGAGCCTGGAGTTCTAGTCCCATTTTAGGCATGAAAAACCAGCTGGGTGACTTTAGGCCAGTCACACTCTCAACCCAACTCACCTCACCTCACAGGGTTGTTGTTGAAGGGGAAAATAGGAGGAGGAAGGAATATTAATGTGTTCTTATTAATAATGTATTCTTGCTCCCTCATTATTTGTAAAAATAATAAAGGTGAGTTATTAAATAAATAAAATCTAGAAGGAAAACATGAATTTTGATCCCCAAATTCGAACTTCACAGTTCAGGCGACCAAGTCCTGTGGGGTCCTTGGTGCTCTGAGCTTACCAAAGTAGGTAACATCTGTGTTAGCATGAGTGCTTACACCTAGTTTGATAATGAAATGTCTTGCAACAACCAAGCTCAGAAAGCATCAAGGACCTCACAGTTCAACCCAGAGCTACAAATATGTAAAAAAGATGTTGAGACTCTAGAAAGAGTACAGAGAAGAGTAACAAAGATGATTAGGGGACTGGAGGCTAAAACATATAAGGAACGGTTGCTGGAATTGGGTATGTCTAGTTTAACAAAGAGAAGGACGAGGGGGGACATGATAGCAGTCTTCCAATATCTTAGGGGCTGCCACAAAGAAGAGGGAGTCAAGCTATTCTCCAAAGCGCCTGAAGGCAGGACAAGAAGCAACGGGCGGAAGCTAACCAAAGAGAGAAGCAACCTAGAACTAAGGAGAAACTTCCTGACAGTTAGAACAATTAACCAGTGGAACAACCTGCCTCCAGAAGCGGTGAATGCACCAACACTGGAAGTTTTTAAGAAGAAACTGGACAGCCATTTGTCCGAAATGGTATAGGGTTTCCTGCCTGAGCAGGAGGTTGGACTAGATGACCTCCAAGGTCCCTTCCAACTTTATCATTATTATTATTATCAGTCTTCTATCGGTACCTTTTGTCCTCCTGCAACTAATATTTGAGTGTGCCAAATGCAACTACCCACCCGCTGGCAAAAATCTGCCCATGGAATGCATTTTTTTTTTTCGTAAGCGCCTTCCTTCTACTACAGCACGTAGCGGTCGGGCCTGGCGAGGCGCAGGTACCGGTAGTACTGTAAAGGGACTCGGTGGCAGAGGAATCCCACCAGGGCGGAGCCTGAAAAAACGTGGCCGGCTCGGTTCGTGCTGCGCCGCCCCTCGACAGGTCATTTCCTCCCTTCTTCACCAGCTCGGCTCCGCCTCCTGCTAACGCGCATTTCATCGCTTCGGCCACATCACCTCCCCCTCGTGCGTTCGGCGCCGGCCGCATCCTCTGCTTTTTCCCTCCTCCTGCTCTGCTCTGCCTCCCGGTGTCGCTCTGTCGCTTCCCCGCCCCCGGCCGGGAGTTCCAAGCCATCCCATCCCGTCGTCGTCCTCCACGTGCTAAAGCGAGCTATGGGCAGCCTAGTGCTGGAGGATGGGACGGTCTTGCGTGGGCGTCCCTTTGGACTCGTGGGGACTCCAGTTGCGGGTGAAGTCGGTGAGTTTCTGTCCAGGAGCAAAGTGGGGGAGGAAGAGAAGGAAAGCTCTTTGGTTGACCGGTTGCACTTCTGCCTTCCGGCAAAAGGAAGTATAGAGGTGCTCTCCCCTCCGTCTAGATATGGAGGGTCGAGATATGGTCCTGCCATCTGTCATTATGCCCATTTGCTCAGCAGGCGCCTTTGACCGTTGTTGGATCCCCAAATGTGCCTAGGGCTACTTGTAGAGGAGTGCCTTTGAACGTGCCCAGACTTGGTAGCACAGCTGTCTGTTCTTGTGGTCAGGCTTCTAGACTTTCTCCCGCTTGTCACATTGCTGATCTTGGAACTAGGTCAGGCCCATTCCCAGGTCAGATAAATTAGAAGTAAGAAGGTATCATCCTGTCTGGGTTCATCATTCTGCTTGCTTACACCAGTACTTCCCAAGGGTGTTTTTGAAACATGATTAGCTGAAAGGTTTCAAAAGAGCAAATAAGGAATTATCACTCCTTACTCTATGCCCTACGATAGTGATGGCCCTCCAGAAAAAAAAATCTTTTTTTAGAAAAGAGAGGTGCTAATTCTTGAAAACCAAGGCTCTTGCTGTCTTCAAATTATGCCAATTAGGCCTTTGGAATAGTGGCAACATATACCTCTCAGTGCCATGTGATGGATAACACAAGGGAAATAGGCTGTTGTGTTAGACTTTTAGAAGACATTGAATCAGCTGTTTTGTGGACAGGCTGCGGGACAGAACAGATCAATGTTCTCATCCAATAGAATGGTTTTTCTATTGCTGAGTGGTTTGCTGATTGCTAAAAGTAAAAAATATCTTCTTGAGGCGAGTGAATCAAAGTGGATCTTTCCCTCATGCCCTTTCTATTAAAGAGGGCAAGTCCAGAATCTGGGAACATGTCACTACCAAGAAAATAACCCAAGCTTTCATAGGGCTCAGCAATAATAACAAAACAACAATAATAAACATTTGTGTAGTAGTTTGGAGTGGTCAAAGCACATCACATGCTTTATTTAATTGTAATCCTTAAAGCAGTTTTGCATGGATGAATTGAGAAACAAGAAGCCCTTGAATGTTGATCTACAATCATGATCTAGCCAATGTTCATGTTAGCTAAAAATTCAGCACTATTTGGAGGGTCACAGATTGCTGTAAGAATAGTCAATATTGGTACTCGTAGAGAATAAGATTTAGTTAGGCCTTTAGTTTAATCCAGTTGCAGAACTTCCCGTGTACCACTGTTTTATTAATAAAAACTATAGCATGGTGAACATTCTCTTCTGGTAAGGAGACAGCTGTACTGATAGTAGAAAGCTCAGATTAGGATTAGAATTAGAATTAGAATTAAGCTGGAAGGGACCTTGGAAGTCCTAGTTCAGCCCCCTACTCAAGCAGGAGAATCTATACCATCTCAGACAAGTGACTGTCTAGTCTCTTTTTAAAAATCTCCAGTGATGGAGCGCCCACAATTTCTGGAGGCAAGCTGTTCCACTGGTTAATTGTCCTCACTTCTTCTTAATTCCAGGTTGCTTCTCTTTTTGATCAGTTTCCAACCATTGTTTCTTGTCCTGCCCTCTGGTACTTTAGAGAATAACGTGACCCCCCCTTCTTTGTGGCAGCCCCTCAGATACTGGAACACTGCTATCATGTCTCCCCTATTTCTTCTTTTCTTTAGACTAGCCAAACCCAAGTTCTGCAGCCATTCTTCGTATGTTTTAGTCTCCAGGCCTTTGATCATCTTAGTTGCTCTTCTCTGAATTTTTTCCAAACTCTCAACATCTTTTTTGTGATATGGTGACCAATATCAATATGGTGACCAATCAGGAATAGGATGAGGAAGAAGCAGAAGTGGATAGAAAAGAGAATGCCAAATGATAAGAGGTGCTTTGAGAAGGCTGTGTGTTCTACAAGTTCTTACAATCATGAGCATTCAGCTTATTTAGTGAAAAAATCCTTGTGCTAAACAGAAGAAGCAGCATTCCTAATGCTTCTGTAATAGTGTTTCCCTCAGTCTTTGAAAAGTCTATGGCACTAGAAGAAGCCTGGTATTGGATTGCTCCATGTGACAAACATCCTGACTGGAGATCAAGCAATGTGCACTCAAGATGGGTTTTCTGGATGTGGAGATTGTGAGGATGGGGCAGTTGCTGATAATTGTTTATCTTGGCTCTATTTTTTTAATGTTAGGAATATTGTGCAGCTGTAGAAGTCAATATACAGATATGGTCTGGAATTCCACATTGGGTAAACTACAAACAGAGATAAAAAGGTGACAAGCTCAGTATATGATCCCTGCATTTACTTTGATAGAGGGGTCAGCAGTCCACTCTATCCAGTCTTCTGGAAAGGCTGCTGATATCACATCTGACTTCTTTCCCTTAAATGCTCATTTTGCCAGATGCAGCAGAGCTGTAAAGGACTGGAATAACAACTACAAATGGACTGGAGAAAGACTACTCAGTGCTTAGGCCTGGTTTGCAGGAGAGATTAATTTATCCAGAGTCATTTGCCAAAACCAATATGGGGTTTTGCCGAGGTCACTAATCCAATTTTACCATTTCTTGGAATCTGCAGTGTTCCAGACTGGCATGGTGGGTTATCCTGAAGCACTGACAGATCCCTCCTATAAATCCCAGATCTTGGTACTGACTTACCCACTGATCGGGAATTACGGTGTTCCTCCAGATGAGTTGGATGAGTATGGTCTCAACCGGGTAAGTATAGCATTGGCAGAAAGAAACCCATTCTTACATGTTGCAGTAAACATTTCAGATGACCTAGCACTGAGATCTGATTTCTGGATGCCTGGAGACCAAGTGCCAGAAATTATTCTGGCCTAGTTGAAGAGTTCTAGGAATTTCTGGCTCAATCAGCCTGGTGTTCACAT